AAGGAAGCGACAACTCGGCCCTTCGCAAAGAGGAGGGCGACAGCTCGGCTCTTTGCAAAAGGTGAGCGACAACTCGGCTCTTTGCAAGAAGGAAAGCGACAATTCGGCTCTTTGCAAGCCGCAGCTCGTCTTATCACCTCGGTCGAGTCGCTAGTCCGTCTTTGGCCCCGAGCTCGCCGACCGATTTCCAGAAGGTGGATTCGAGATCATGGTAGCAGGTGTAGTTGGGGCAACCGACGCGGCTACTCATCCAGCTTCTCGGCTCATGAGCATAACATACAGGCTGAAATAGCTGGTCGACTAGGTGAATCTTCAATCACTGTATTTTTAGATATGTGGAAATGTTTTGAGACGGTTATGTATGACGCCCTCATCATAGAGGCTAGGTCCATGCAGTTCCCCATGAGGCTCCTCTGGATGCTCTGGGACTCGTACTCACAACCTTAAGTTATTCGGGCTTTTGGGTGCTGGAACAAATCGTTCCGGGCTCTGCAGGGTATACTTGCGGGATGTACTCATGCTACTTCTCTGATGTCTAGCTTGACATATAGAGCTGTCCATTAAGTTACCCATGTGAGCCCCAACGTGCACCCCAGGGCCTTGGTAGATGACTCCACCCTTCAGTGGACTGGGCCCAAGGAGGACACCGCTCAGGAGTTGTTCAACGGGGTCCAGAGCTTCGCGAAGGACACGTCCAGGCTCGGTCTCTTGCTCCAGGTCAAAGTCTGGGCGGGTGGCTACGGCTGCATCGGCCAAGCATGGGTTTGGAAGATTTGCTCAGAACCTTCACTTGAAGGCGAAGTCTTGTGTGAGGAATCCGGGGCATGAGCTCAGTGGGCCCAAGCCGATCAGAGAGCGAGCCAAAGCCAGGTTGAAGCAGCTAGCAGATAGGCTACCCAGATTAAGGATGTTGAGACGTGGAGCCTGTAATCGAGTGACGGCTTTATGGAGGACAGGTCCCATGCCAGCTGCTGCTCATGGAGCCACAGTTTCAGGTGTCAACAACAGTGAGCTGGCCAAACTGCGGCAGACGGCAGCAATGTTGGCGGGGCGGTCTAGTAAGTCTCCCTCTCTCACGCTTGTACTTGCCACACAGGCTGACGCCAAATACGACCCCATATATGATGATACATTGGATCCAGTACGGGCGCATGCGTCGTTCATCTGGGACCAGAGGGTTAGAATTGGGAGGCTTCAGAGGGCGCGGCAGAAAGTTCGAGCAACATGTTCGTCACGGCCTCAGCCAAAAGTCCAATAGCAGTGCTTATGTTAACGCTGGCAAGGATAGGCTGAGATATGTTTTCCAGTACGGTGTTGGTCAGTGATCTTGGCCACCACTTTGATCTTCTCCGTCTCCCCCCACGCTCGGTCGTGGAACTTGCGCGCCAAGGAATCGAGCGATGGCAATCTCAACAGATTCTTGGGCATCACAAGGAGGCATGCGTAGGAGGAGAGATCATCTGGAGGAGGGAGCTCAGGAAGTGCATTGGTGGAGGTAAGGCAGTGATTAAGAATGAGAGATTCGCTGGTGCACTTCGTTCGCTGTGGTCAGGTGCGCTATGGTCTCGCGACCGCCTTGCACGTGCTGGCGATAGAATATCCCCTGCCTGTTGCTGGTGCTCGGCCGATAAGGCCACCATCAGGCATGAGTTCTACGAGTGTCCTGAGTTGTATCATGATGTGTATAATGGTCCCGCTCTCGATTGGGATCCAGACCTTAACGATGCGCGCTCTTATCTTAGTGCGAAAGGGCACCCAAGCGGAGGACAGCAAGACTATGACTACCTTGAGACCTCGGTTGGGATGCCCATCAGCCCTCTGGTTCCTCCGTATGTGGAAGAAAAGCTGGAGTTCTCTTTCTGGGGAGATTGGGAATCTGATCGGAGTTCTTGGAGCGGGGCATGCTATGCTGATGGTTCTGGGATGGCCCCCAGTTGGTCAGAGCTAAGGAGATGCGGTTGGTTAGTAGTTCATCAACTTGGGGACAATGGGATGCCCACAAGAGCCTTGTTTGGACCATTATTGGGGGCCTATACAGACTGTGGGAAGAGTTGAACGATTTGCTGTCCTTCAAGCCCTCCGTCGTTTGCCGCATGTCAATTTGCTTGTGTCAGACCTCCTGGGTCTTGTTAAAGACGCAGACAGCTGGTCACCTGAACTTGCTGATGCTCAAGCGGCCTATGCCGATATCTGGCGATCCATCCTGGCAAGGTATCCTGGAGGAAAAGGCCGACCTTCTTTTTTGTGGTACCCAGCGCACCTCACAGATGACGAATCTGTCGACTGTGCTGAGGAAAAGAAGTTGCCATGGGAGTTTGCCATGGGCAATCGTTGGGCAGATTATGTTGCTAAGCGAGGCGCCCTTGAACACGCTCAACCTGACACGGTGGTCAAATACTTTGAGGCTCGGCTCCAGGATGCAAAGACGCAGGCGAAGTTCTTTTCTTGGGCAGCGGCAAAGATGGCTGCACGAGATCAACTGAGCGCTCGTCCTGAGCAACTCCTGAGGGTCCCTCAGTACAATGTGCCCTGTGTAGCTCTGACTGAACATAATTTGGTAGCTAGGTCTCCCCAAGTCTTTCAGTGTAGAGAATGTCTTGCGGTAGCCCGAACGCAGGCCAGTCCTGGGAAGCTCTTGGGAACTGAATGTAAGCCGACGGCCCAAGAGAGGCCGAAGGCACGCGCGGACCAGCAGATCCAGCGAGCTCCGCTCATGAGGTCTCACGCTGTGAATGTTGCCCTGAATGGGGCTGCGGATTTTGAGGGTGTAGGCTCGCCACAGGACGTCCAGGGTGCTTTGGGATCTGCGGGGCCTCAGTCTGCCGCCGATGAAGCTATCGTCGAGCTCCAGGGGCACCAGGTCTTGGTGCTGCCGTGGGCGATGGCTTGCACGCTTTGTGGCTCCTACCAAGCGTCTCGTGGCAAAGTAGCTCACTGTAAGCTGCAAGCGGAATGTCTCGGGGCGTCGGAGCACGGGCTGACCACATTTCGGCCGACATATGCCACTTCTGCCATCAAGGCTGGTCGCCATCCTAAGGCGGGCAAGTCTTTAAGACCCGTTAACTTTCTCAAGTAAGGCCCGTGTTCCCGTCCCTCGGTTGCACGCCATGGTCTGGCGGTGGTCCTCCTCCTCCTCCTCCTCCTCCTCCTCCTCCTCCTCCTCCTCCTCCTCCTCCTCCTCCTCCTCCTCCTCCCCCTCCCCCTCCCCCTCCCTCCCCCTCCCCCCTCCCCCCCTCCCCTCCCCCTCCCCTCCCCCCCCCTCCCCATCCCCCTCCCCCTCCCCCCCCCCCCCCCTCCCCCTCCCCCTCCCCCTCCCCCTCCCCCTCCCCCTCCCCCTCCCCCTCCCCTCCCCCTCCCCCCCCCCCCCCTCCCCCTCCCCCTCCCCCTCCCCCTCCCCCTCCCCCTCCCCCTCCCCCTCCCCCTCCCCCTCCCCTCCTCCTCCTCCTCCTCCTCCCTCCTCCTCCTCCTCCTCCTCCTCCTCCTCCTCCTCCTCCTCCTCCTCCTCCTCCTCCTCCTCCTCCTCCTCCTCCTCCTCCTCCTCCTCCTCCTCCTCCTCCTCCTCCTCCTCCTCCTCGTTCTCCGCAGATCCCTGCTACCGTGCCCTCTTGGGCGTCGTCCTCCGAGTGCTAGCTTTTGTGCGGAAGCACCTGCTCCTGCTGCTGCTGCTGCTGCTCCTCCTCCTTTGCTGCTCCTTCCTGGGAGGCTTTTCGAACGCAAACTTGGGGTTTTGCTTCCATAGCCTCGCGTTGGGGCTCCTCCTGGGGCCGTCTTGGGGATCCTTTGGGCTGGCCCGGGGCCTGTTGGAGCCCGCTGGGGAATGGTCATGAAGTTTTCTCCGAGGGTCTTCAAGATGTCTGAGCCCGTGGCGGCGGGCTCCGAGGCCTAGGACGCGGAAACCCTGTAAAACACACACACACACACACACACACAAAGAAAACGAGGGCTGGCACCCGTTCCTCCAGCCGTCTCGGGGCCCTTTTGGGCTAGCATGGAGTCTGCTGGAGGCCTCTGGGAAATAGACCTGGGGCTATGTCCGCGGGCCTTCAAGATGTCTGGGCCCACCGCTGCGACCTCGGAGGCCCGAGGCACCGAAACCCTGCAAAAACACATGAAAAATGAAGCCTGCAGTCGTTCCTGGAGCCGTCTTGGAACCCTCCTGGGCTGCCTGGAAACTGTCGGAGTCCCCTGCGGAATGGTCTTGGACCTCGCGCCGAGGATCTGGAAAATGTCCGGGGCCATCGCGGCGGCCTCCGAGGCCCGGGACGCCGAAATGTTTTAAAAACACTAGGAAAATGAGCCCCAGTACTCCCATGGAGGGTCGAGGCAGCTGTTTTCGGGCCCCAGGCCTGCCCCCCCGTGATATATGTGTATATATACATAGATATATATATATATATATATATATACATACATATACATATACATATACATATACATATACATATATATACATATACATATACATATACATATACATATACATATACATATATACATATACATATACATATACATATACATATACATATACATATACATATACATATACATATACATATACATATTACATCATATACATATACATATACATATACATATACATATACATATACATATACATATACATATACATATACATATACATATACATATACATATACATACACACATACATATATATACACGCTGAGGCGTAGTTGCCAATCATAGGTTGCGTTCATGGCTTGCACCATGGCTTGCGGCCATAAGCTGTGCTCCATGTGCCGCTGGTGTTGCGTGGCCACCTTGCCCTTAAACTAAACATAAGCCGACAATGCTACTCTCGATTGCACCTGTTGAAGCGACAGGGGAGACATCGAGCGAGATGATTCGAAACGATACAGCGTGGGTAACCTGAGAAGACTTGGCGCAATGTGGGCAGTGGCTGGCGCGGTCATAATGATACTACTCGAAGAGCCCCTCAATCGGGAGGAAGTAATCAGAATGGAAAAGCGGTACTCCTTTTCCAGCACGCGCTTCACGGACGGGAACGTGCCAATGCCCCCGAAGAGTGGGAAAAACATCCAGGTACCCACAGTCCACATGCAGGCACCCCAGCGAGGGAAGACGTCAGACTCGGTGAAGCTGAGTCGCCACCACAATAAAGCGGCGATGAACATGAGGCCCACGTTCTGAATCAGGTTCAGCACCGTGAATGCCTCTCGTGGGCACAGAACCGTAGAGAAAGGCTTGAACCCTACCTCTGCAAGACTCTGCTGTAATGTCTAACGCTTGGGGGCTCCGAAATTGACAGAATAGAGAGGAAAATGGAAAAACGGAAAGAGGAGGGATGGAAATGAGGGGTAGGGTGGAGGAAACGGCGGAGGAGAATAAGGGGGGAAGAGAAAGATGAGCAGGATCATTCAACTTGATTAAACTGGTGCCCTGGGCGCCACACCGGAGGCCGAATCAGCTCGACGCTTCAACAAGCCAGACGTGCGCTGGGGAGGGGAAGGAGAAAGATAAGGAACCTCAATGCTGGCCCTGCGTTGCAGGCACTCCCCCCTACACGAAGCGGGTTCCTTCGCGACCCAGGGCAGGCCCCAACAGAAGGCAGGATGGGTTTGAAAGGATGGACTGCTGCCACGGAGGTGAAGAGAAGGAGGAAAAGGGAAGGGAAAGAGAAAGGAGGGAGGGGGGGCGGAGATTAGAGGGGATGATCAGTGGGGGGGATCATAAAACTTGAGCGGCGGGGGCACTTGCCGCATCGGGGATCTGGTGGAATCCACGAGGGAATACGGATGCAGATGGAGCACGTATTCAGAAACTGTACACTCGGATGAGGCCGAAGACAACGGAAGCTTATCCTCACAGGAAATCTGCTGCACCTCCCAAAATTTACATGGTCGTCCGCACGGCATTGAAGAGAAGACAAAGACACCGCAGATCACAAATCCGAGCGGAATACTGACACTGCTTCGTGGACATGCATGTCAGTACTAGGACGACAACGATGTCATGGTACGATTGGATCAAAGTACATTCCAGACATTCCGGAGAAGCCAGCAGCGCTTGCTTCGGGAGCCCGTGCGGAACGAATAGGGAATTTGAGAATACTGGACATCATACAACGTAGCATTATGATGACTCCTTGATCCTCTGATAGGCAACCACGCGTGAACCCGTCCCCTGCAGGTCAGATGGCCGGGGGTACAGACTTCGAAGCATGTCTGCAGCCAGGTGAACACCCGTGGGGGTATCCGATGCCCCAGCATCGACTGGAACCGCATGGGTAGGGTTCGCGAGTGGTCGTACAAATAGAGGAACAAAAACAATAAACATACACATAAACTGAGGAAGCCCCGCGCGGATTTCTAGGATCGGTGCTGGGTGACCCTGGCGCCGCCTCTGGCGCCTCCCCTGGCGCGTTCCGCGTTCCAGACAGGTGAAATCAGCGCGGATCCAGGAAATCAGCGGGGACCCCCGGAAGTGTATGCTTATGTCATGGCTTACTCCTTGGGCATCTGAAAATATGTCCTCATCGCCACCGCGAGCCTCACTCACCAGCAGGTTGGAGTGCCGCCTCGTGAGCAACAGGACCTGCCGGAGCATCGGTGCCTCGTGGTTACGCCTGGGCGGCTTCGGAAGTGATCCCTGTCAGCGGCACGAGACTCCCTCACGAACGACGAACGTATACAGATCGGCAAATCCGAATGGCATGGTTTGCAGAGGGTGCGGTTTGAAACCCGCATACGGGGGGGCGAGCGACCAACTCGACAAAATCCCCCACCGTGCCCCGAAGAGGCCCGATGACGGCAACGTGGCGACCCTAAACCCCAACGACGCAGACGGCAAACCATACCGAGGCGTAACCACACCCAATAAAATCGCCGAACGCCGTCGCGGTCTGAAGCCCAAGGCGCGACCCCACGGATACGAAATCGCACCGAGACGTTCCGCCCGAGCATCTGCGGACAAAAATCCTCGCACCCGCGGGGTTGCGGCCCAACGGCCCGGCCCGGGAGGCCGTGAATACGGATATGCCTTCCACCCACGATATCCCAAGCTGCTCCCAAATTGCGCTACATGCTTGGTCGCAGCGCTAGCAATCTTTCAGCACGGTCGGTGCCGAGGCTGGACCACGGTTACGCTGACTGCGCACCATTTTGCGCACCATTGTTGACTGCGCACCAAGTTGCGCTACATGAAGCTGAAAACATTTTGGTCGCAGCGATGGCGGTCGCTCAACGCGGTCGAGGCGGACGCTGGGCAAGTGAGGTGATAATTGATATGAGGCTGGACGCACACATGGCTGGATTTTCATGTGGAGCACGCAAAGGCCAGGTGCCAGATGCAAAAATCGAGAATCACAGTGTCTGGTTTCAATTGCCAGCGCCGAACGCTGGAAAGAGATGCTGCCACACGTTCTTCCAGCTCGCGCCCACGCGAAACACGCCATATGCATCCAGGTTCCTAGCCCAGCCAACCAGACGACCAAACTGCCAAGCAGCCAAGCAGACAATCAACCAAGCCGAGACGCCACCCAATCGGCCAGTGAACCAACCAATCGGCCAGCAAACCGACCGGCTGCCCAGCCGATAAAGAAAAGGGCGCGTCTGACCGCGCGACGGCTGCCGCTTCCAGCGCCATGAGGCGCGCCCCACCTCACAAAGCACCGCCCTTCACTCGCGAGCGCCCAGCTTGATCAGGGCCGGGGCAGAAGAAGGAGATCTCCGGGCGTCGCTCCACGGGGCAGCAGTCATGGGGGGGGAGACTGGAGTACTTTTCGCGCGCCTTCGGGGCCCCAGAGGGGGCCTTCCGCAGGGGGGGCGGGGTTCCCGGGAGCAGGGCACCAGGGCGCGAGGCGGAACTGACTGCGCGCATGCGGAGCAAGTCGGCGACGCGGCGTCGCTCTGGGAGGGGGCGCCGAGGCGGCGCGGGCCGTGAGCGGAAGGGCCCGCCAGGGCTGCCACTTCTAAGCAAGCTTCCTCACCGCGCTGAGCGGGACCAAACGGCGAAGGCTAGCCTGCGCGAGCTTCCTTGCCCGAGCACGCGCGGACCGACGCGCGGCCCTTGTTGTCGCGCGAGGGCGCCTCTCTGCACGATTCCACTGGGCCTTTCGCGGCGCGCATGCAGCGGGGCCCCAGGGCGCCGGACATCACGTCCAACGGCACAGCCAGAAGAACAAGCGAAACACACATAACATCATCTATAGTTCGGGCCACTCGCACCCATCCGAGGAAATCAAGCGCGACAACATTCGTCGGCGAACACAGCGCCACGCGACGGGGCGCAGGTGCTCGGCCATGGCCCAGGGGGCGCCCGCCCTGACCAGCTGGGCGCCAATGCTGACGTCGCCCTGCTCGCAACCAAGAAAGGCGCGCGTCTGGGCGTCTCCCGCGCGCGCCGCGCGCGACTGGGAAGATGCGTCGAGGCGCGTAAACGCGACCCAACGCCGAACGCCTGCGCTGCGAAAAAAGTCGGAGCACTGACGAATCCACTTCCCCATTGACAACACATCGCTATGGTCCGGAACCCGGCCCGCGAGAAGCGCCCAATGCTCTGCGGCCCCCGCGAGGCCATCTCTCGCGACCCCGCCTAGAAGGCTCTCCAATGGTGAATCGGAACCATTCTGGAGAGTCGTCGAACAGCGGTCGCCGCGGCGCCCCTCCCAGGCAGACGCGAAGCGACGCGTTCCTGGACCATTGCCTCCCTCTCCGTGGCTTGCCTTGCCCTGCGCTGCCTCCCCCGCTCCCCTCGGATAGCCCTCCCCCGTCTGACGGCCCATGCCGTTGCGCCCGTCTGTCTCCCCCCTCGGCCGCTCGCTGTCAATCCTCGCCCCTCGCTTCTCCCTCGCTTTGCTCGGCCCCCCTGATTTCCCTCGAATTGCTGCCCCCCCGTCGTTCAAGATCGGGCCCTCTCGGCCGCCGCGCGCTGCGGCGCGCTGCCCTGGCGCCCCAGCGCCTCTCTCGGCCACTGCCCTGCGAGGGGCCGGCCGCCTCGCCTTCACTTCGCCATTCCCTCCGCGTCTTCCATCCACCGCCCTGTCGACCGCCAGCTGCGCGCCCAACGCACTAGCGAATCGCCGCGCCGCGACGACCGAAAAGCACGCGCGTCTGCGCGCATGTCCTACATGTCCTGCATTAGAAGTAAAGTAAGCGCTAATGGGGAATCAGCACGTTCGTGTCTTTGGCGTTTGCTTCGGCCCCATTGGGCGCATGACTGTGCACTTCAAACGCGGTTTTGGTCGCAATACTTGTCCGTGTATGAATACGTGTGCGTGCGAATTTGCGTGCATGTGTGAGTGTGCATATGCGCATGTGCGCGCGTGCGCCTGCGGGCTGCGCGCGCATGCGCGCATGCGCACGTGCGTTTGCGCGTGCACGCGTGCGCGGTTGCGCGCGCGCCCCCCCTGATTACCCGCCCCCCATCTCTGCGCCCCTGTGGTTGACGTTTCTTCCCCTTTGCGCGGTCGACTACGTTCGATCGCAATTGGCACCTCCATCTGTCGTTCGCGATGGAGGGCCCTCTGCGCCGCGCGCACGTGGATTCCTCCTTCGCGCCACCCATCTGCATCGACAGGGCGCGCGTTTTGCGCGCCGTCGACTCGATTCGCCGACTCGCGCCCCGCTCAGCCAAGAAGGCTGGCCCCAGTCAAAGGGGGGATCGGCGCGCCGCGGCGGCGCGGTGCCCCGGGCCGACAATGTCCGATCGCAACGCTCACTTCCTCCAACTGCTCGCGCCAGCAGAACCCCTGCGCTGCCGACTCAAAAGCGCGAGCGCGCGTTGCGCGCGCGTTGCGCGCGCAGCTACCACGGCCAAAGCATCTGCAGCCGCTGCCCTCCTCGGCGGAGGTAGCTGCGCGAGCGCCAAGTCCACGGATCGCCCGCTGCAGCGCGCGCGAAACCACGGCTGCGGACTGCTTGCCTCAGCCGAAAGGACCGCCGAGGCGCCGGGCGCAACCCGGGGAAGAAGCACGCAGAGGAAAAAATGAGAGGCAACGGCAACCAACAGAAGAACGCGCCCGGCTGCGCCAGCGCACCCCGCGCGGCAAGCCGGCAGGGGCCGAAAAGCAAGAGAACTCAATCTCGATGGGGTGGCGCTCTGCGCCAAGTCCCCGAAGCGCCCGGGCATAGCGCGGCGCTACTTCGCAATGGGGACCACGCGACAAAAAGAATATCCCGCGCTACCGCCCCACTTACGTTACGTTTCCACTCCGCTGGCCCCTCGCCCAGCCAAGCCCCCCCCCCTGGACATTCGCCCAGCCGACCTCTGCTGGGAGCCACTCGATAGCAGACCTCAAAATCACGACGCGCGCCATACAGTCGCAGAGCGAAGGGGGCGGAGGAGGACGGGGGAGGGGCAGTGCAAGACGGAGCACGGGAAGCGAAAAACTGAAAGGCCACGTGTTTCATTCCCAGATGCTTCCTGCAAGGCTTCTCAGGAGCGTCTCGAGCGTTTCCAAAAACCCCCCTGCAGCCCCCTGGCAACCTTGCAATAGCCACCTCGGCTTCCTCTCGGGCCCTCTGGGGGCATCAACCGATGGCAGCGCGCGAAGCATCTCCGGGATGTGCTCGATAGAACTGGTTGTCGTAATAATCGCATCAACCCGCAAGATACGCAACCCTTCACCTGACCCAGGGGGCCATGAACATCAAATGGCAATGGCAAAGACACGCGTGAAACAAATGCTTGGAACACAATGATTGCTGAAACTGCTGAGCCGCGGTAATGCACAACACACAGGAACACGCAAACATGACTCAATATAGCTGGGGCTGCGTTGACACGGGCGGAAAAAAGACTTAGCACGCATTCGCCCTAAATCGCACATTGCCGAGATCAGGCCCCCCTGGAACTTCACCAGCAAATATTTATTATTATATATATACAAATAATATATATATATATATATATATATATATAAAGAAAAAAACGCCACATGCACCGCGAGCGCCCTGCACAAGCCAGTCTGACTCGAAAATGAAACTCACCGACGGTCGCGACAGCGACATTAATCTCTTTCATATGTCAGCACACCCGGCGATCGGTCGGTCTCGCCGGGCAGAAACCAAGGCGTGCTCTTCAGAGAACTCAGTCACGAGTCGGCCTCCGCCGACCATCCTGATCACGTCGGCCCTGTCGGCCGTCATCCTGTCGGCCTTGCCGCCCATCATGCCAAACTGGCTTCCTGCCAACACGGCTTCTGGGTACCCCTTCATCCTGTCACGAAAGCTCCATGAGCATACTCGGGCAGCGGCTGGCACTCGGCGTGCTGAGATCCAGATTGCAGCGACACTGCGACTGGACGACATGCTGCGCACCTTCTTCTGATTCGTCGGCATCGGGTCGGCCCTGGTCGTCCTGACCCTGACGGGCCCTGCCCGCGTCTCGGGCTCGCGCATCTTCTCGATGCCCACGTCGTGCTCGAGCTGATTCGCCCAGTGCGCCCACCACGCTGCGGCGAAAAAAACCCGAAGTGGAACGGCGCCGCAAGTCCCATCAAGAAGCCGAAGACAATCGCCCAGGTCGTTCCAGTAAGCTGGCGCCGGCGGGCTTGACAGCTCGACGCCGGCAGGCTCGCACTGCATCACCTGCCCCGCCGCGCCGCCGCCTTCGCCAGCTGCCAGT